ATTCTCCCCCAACTGCTAATTACCTGCTAATTAGTAGAAACTGTGATGACTGTTAGTAGTCTGGGAATTTCTTTACTAAACTGGAGCTCTGTTGCCACCCACAATTACTAGGTGTTCTGCACTGTTGATGAGTAAGAATGAGCTTTCATTTTTTCCTCCACTACCAACATTAGTAACATGAAGACTACACAGTTCTTAGAACAGGGCCTGATTGAATGGATTCTGTTGTCGCATGAATATTGTGAAGTACTTCTACAGCACCTGGGGCCTTTATCATCAAGGGTATCTGAGCTTTCAGTTTTTAAAGTAAACTGCTAGACCTCACATCTCAAGAGCAGGTTTGAAAGCATCATGCCACTATGTGGTAAAAGTGGAGAGAAAAGCAAGGATCTGGTTGTTTGTTAGTCAATGGGCTGTTTTCATTATGCTTTCAAATATTAGTGTACTTTCAATTTTTGGGAGAAGTTATGAGAATTTACTTCATTATATTTCATATTATACATTGATAAAGGATTAAGAAAAATTCAGAACAAAAATATTATAAATTAAGTGCACTATGTAAGCTATTTTTTTAAACTGACCTAATCTATAAAAAAGAAAAGGCATCTTGTATCCATTATATACTTAATTGCTTGTGAACCCTTGATTCATTATGTATTTTCAATGTGACCACTAGCGCTAAATAAATATATTGGAATCTTGGCTTACAGAAGGCATTAGTTTAATCAAAAACATGTGCTGTTCAACATGGGTTCACATGGGTTCACATGGCCAGTTTGTAAGATAATTGCAGAAAAAGCAATTTTCAGCTTCCAGGTGCTTAATTACACACTGGCTTGTGTGGGGAAAATGAGTCCACTTGACAGCACTCTAAAAGTCTTGTAGGACCAGGTTACAACAATGATATCTGAGCATGATGCTTAAAAGCAATTTACATATTAATATAATGAATGATGAGCTGAAACTCCCTGATTCAAATTCCAGCTGAGCCACAAACTCAGTGGTGGCTACTCTCAGCCATGGTCTCCTTTTTTGGTACAGTAGACAAGGTTTCTATTGGTTTAACTGAAACCTTCACCCCCATCATAAGTTACCCATGTGAACAGATCTCCATGGACAGAAGAGTTGATCAAATACTGTAATCACACATGGAAGCTTAAGTGCATAGAGTCCCACCTTTTAACAACATTGAAAACAAAAGAGAGGTGTGAAAAAATGGTCTACTTGGATCAAAGAGTAACATTCCATAAGTTACAGTTACAGATAGGTAGCCGTGTTGGTCTGCCATAGTCAAAACAAAACAAAATTCCTTCCAGTAGCACCTTAAAGACCAACTAAGTTAGTTCTTGGTACGAGCTTTCGTGTGCATGCACACTTGTATCTGAAGAAGTGTGCATGCACACGAAAGCTCATACCAAGAACTAACTTAGTTGGTCTTTAAGGTGCTACTGGAAGGAATTTTTTTGTTTATTCCATAAGTTACTTATTGTGTGACCTGTGGACATACAGTATGACTATGATCCTCTGTGTATTTGGCAGCCATGTAAACAGACCCTCTGCATACTGACAAACATGCATAAGCTCCCTCCACACCAGTGGTTGTCAGAGATAGGTAGAGTGACTTGCAACTCACTAACATGGTTTCTGTGCTGGAGGTGGATAATGCAAGCTCTTCTATACATCACTTGATGAGGACTGAGGAACCATAGAACTCAGGGCCAAATATGACTGTTCAGGTCTCTGTTCTGTCTGGCCTTGGGATCCTCCTCTTCCATCTCCAGGCCACACCTCTCACTGGCCTGGCTTTACATTTTGAACCCCGTGGAAAATATTGGAAAAGAGGAAGCAGGTTCTGACAATGAGCAAGAAAATGCTTTCCTGATTGTGGAAAGGGCCAAATAGGGGCAGGATCAGCTTGTCACACCAATAACCCACAAGAGTCCCCCCTGAGATCCATCAGAACCAATCTCTTTCCAAAAGGAGAAGGACAAAGTGAAAACAAAATGGTGGCCTCACTCTTTGCAGGATACAGAAGACCATCTCATCCCATCCCTTTTAGTGTGAGTGGCAACCCAACCTAATAGCAGAGATTTATATAAGTATTCTCCAGGAGATATTTCTCGTTGCCCTTGGAAAATCCTGAGCCCTCATGTTCCTAAATAGTCCATCCAATATCGAATTAGTTACTCCACTGAACATGAGTACAAATGGTTCCAAGCTAGAAGGCATTAAAATGATTCAAGTAATGTTGTCTAGAATATGAATGACTAATGGCCAATTTGGTTTCACCTTTCTGGAGAAGTAGGTAGGAAAAGGGTAATGGTACAGAAAAGCTCACTGAAGACAAGTAGCCTCCTTCAATGTGCATCCCATGAAGAAAAACAATGCTTAGCCTCTGTCCCTCAGGTTCTGCAATGCTATTGGCCTGGCCCTTAAATTCATGTGTTACGCAGATACCCTGCCTGACTCTCCATCACCGTCTGGTCCTATAGCCCTGTGAATGACAGAAACCCAGGGAACTGGTGTGGAGGCCTCAAATCTCAAGGCAGGGATGTCCAGATCTGACAGCTCCTAGGGTTGTGGAGATCTGGAATCCTGGTTCTCCTACTGCTTTGAACAGACCCCAAGTTAGAGATCTGGGCAGCAAAGGTTTTTGTGTGTGTGTGTGTGTGTGTGTGTGTGTGTGTGTGTGTTTTAGTTAAAAAAGCAAGAGAAAGAAAAGGAACCTTAGCCATCCCAAAAGGTTTAGCAGCAACTTTTTCATAAAACATTTGGAGAAATTTATTGCCCAAACCAAGCTGATGAACAGTCAAAAAAGAATTATTTGAAATTTCTAGCACATCTCTACTTGCATTCTTGTGGCCTCTGAAAGTTTTTGACTCATCTAATGGAATACTTGAATTAACCAATACATTTCTGAGGAAAGCACCAAACTGCATGCTGATCTCTAAAGTCAACAACAGAGGGCAACTGGAAACAATCCTAAGAGGTCTGCAACAGTTTATGGCATGGATTCCATAAGCACAGGTTTCCTTTGAAAGATTATAGAATGATAGAATTGTGACCTCAAAGGTCACTTTGTCCAACCCCCTGCAATGCAGGAGATGAGCGATCTTAGAGAAGCTAATCTATATATGGAAGCAGAAATAAAAATTAAATTCAAATATTTATCAGAAAATACATCGCAACCTAACAGAAGTTGGCCAGGAAAAAGACCATACACAACTAAGACTATTTTACAATGCTGTAATATTAGGGATTTGAAGACAGACTTTTTCCTCTTTACTTAACCGCTGAATGCAACAATGCATTCTAATCATGGACATGCACAATGCTCCAGGGTTTCTCTTTAATTTAAAGGCCTCTTGCACACAACTGAGGACAAGCTGTCTCAGATACCTTGCAATTTCCCACAGTTCACACGGCTTATTTATGTGCATATTCCATATCTTTCTAACTTCCACTGCCCTGGGCTAAACATAATTAAACACACAAGGAGGGGACATAAACAAAAATGGATTTGATGGGGGAAATTGGTCGCATCACCAATGTGTTGGTTGTGTTCTCACAAAATACACCTGCTTCTCTGATTCATCATATAAACAAGAGTTACTGGAGGAGACTAACCCTTTCCAGATCAGCAGCAAACTAAGAATGAGCAGCCTATTTGAGTTTTGTGTCCGTTTCACATACACCCAGAGCACATTTACCTTTTTGTGGGGTTTTAAAAAAATGCACTAAAATGCATTTAAACTGTATGCATTTTGCACAAATTTTGTAAATATTTCCCTGAAAACTTATCTCTGTATGTTTTCCAATGAATTTCCACCTAAAATATTCATTTTGTTTGCACTTTCCCATAAAATACATATTTTAATGTGTAATTTTTGGAACTGAATCTGCATCATAACTTTAGAGATGTACACTCAACCCCACAGTCAATATATATATATATACTCACCATTTGGTGTTAACAACAATAACATCTGTGCTAATTGCAACATGAAGTGCCTAGGGAAGTAAAATACGTTAGCAAATTCAACAGTGCTTAGTTTGTTTTTGGTTGTTAGTTTGTTAATGTTGCTAATATTGTTCTGTGGATTATGAATGCTGTAATGCTTTGTGAATTTTATAATATGACTTTTCTTGTGGCTGTGCTGTTTAGCCTATTTCTTAAGTTGTTTTGTTAATAGTGCTTTATAGAAGGTGTCTGTTTTACTGATGATTTGTAATTGTTTTACTGATGATTTGTTAATTATTTTATCATTTATGTTGTAACTGTGATGTTCTACTGTACTATTATTTATTGTATGTAAGCTGCTTTTTGACTCATGTGGCTGAAAAGTGGCAAAGAAATATAATAAATGAAAGGAAGGAAGAATTCCAAACTGTATTTGTTGCCACCAGAGCAGTTTCTGTTGTGCTGCACTTCAGTTTTTGCCAAATACTATGCTATTCATCTTACTGCCTGGTATTTAACGAAGGTTGATTAACTTCCATAACAATTTATGTAACTTGCATTCATTTCAATGTTTAAAAAAAGGTGGAAATGATTTAAAATAAAGTAACTAATTATGTATTGTTTCTGGATTTGACAATGATGTGAACAAATTGATTTCTGTTCCTGACCACAGATGAACACATAAACTGCAGCAATTTCAACTTCCTTCTCCAATTTTGTCAGAATTCTCTGATATCCACAGATGTGGCGAACAAGGATACATCATGCCATGGTCTCTGCAAATATTTTTCTACCACAGATGTACTGCATCTCTTTCTGTAGTATACCCATACATGGTGGTACTCTGCTTCCTTTCAAATGGAAATATACAGTATAACACTAGCCTGTGTGTACATAAGAAAGCAGAGAGGAACCTGAATTTGTGTTCTCTTTTGATTTTCTTCTTTTCTTTTTCTTTTTTACTGGTGTAGCACTGTCGAATCTTAACTGTGCAAGCACCAGTAGCTAAAGAGGAAACATTTCACTTTATGACACTTACTTGGAGTGTTGAGCAGACGTGACTTTTTGCAGTAGTAAGCTGTCTCCTGTTCACAGTATTCGGCACTATTTATCATTGCCTCCAGCTGCTCCATGCTGCTGTTGTAGTTGAAGCTCATGGCATATGGTTTCTCTGGATCTGCCCCGCGGACTCGAGTCAGCTCAGTATTGTTGTGCTGGACTACAGTCCAGATCTTATCTTCTATTAAGTGAAACAAAATGGGGGAAAGATGAGAAAAGCAGGAAAAATCAACAGCATCTGATGCATTTCCCTACAGATACTCGTGTATGTGTGTGTGTGTATTCTAAAAAGGGTACTTTTAAACAGTGAGACATATACCAAGCTGGTGCTGAGGACAATGTAGGCTTCAACTGCTACCAAAAGTGAGACAGATGCAATTCTGATGTTTTCCAATTATGGCTAAGAAGCAGGTACAGCAACAATCTTCCCTAGAATTTGGTTTGCTGGCGTTACTTGCAAAATTCCCAGTCTTCACACTTTCTGAGTCAACATGGGTCAACAAAGCACATGAGTTGTTTATCCATCCAGATAAGTGATATCACTGGACTAAAGATAGGACTGTTGTCTGGGCATCAGCACTGCACTCCTCCAGACCGACAGAACTCTCAAAACCGCTAGATACTATGGCAGATTCTCTGCTATTAAGTGCTGACCTTGAAGAAACATGCCTGATGGAGAGGCAAAATTGGCCTTCTATTTTAGTGCAGTGTAAAGCCGATAGCCCTTTCTTTTATTTTAAGCATAAAACAGAACTGATTTAGCTACTTTTTAGCTACTAGCTTCTTGAATAGGGTAAAAGGAAACTTTTAAAAAAAGGCACTGCAACAAAGTATTGTGCCTTTCCTTACAACTAAGGAAAGAGAAGGAAAAGAATAACTGTGCAGAGATGGCCAGCAATTAAATTTGCTGCAGGGTTGAGCTTTGAACTATTATGGAGATCAAAGGTTAGTCAGAAACACCATCCAAACACACCAAACTCCTGTGCTTTAATAGCTAGTACATTATCAAATAATGAAACCAACACATGCTTATCTTGAGAGGAGGACAGAAAACAGGAAGGGATGGAGACATTGCAGAAAATACACCTCTTTCTCTATATAAACCATGCTTTTCAATGCAAACGAGGAAATAAGAACAGAAGAAGAACCATGCTAGATCAAATCAAAGGACTATTTACAGCAGCATCCTGTTTCACACAATGGCAAACCATTACGGCTATGGAAGTCTGGAACCAGAGATGAACTCAATAGTCTTTTCCTGTTCATGTTTGCCAGCAACTGCCATCTTGTCTCTATCTGGAGGTTCCATATCACCATCACCACGAGCAGTTATTGATAGCATTATCCTCCATGAATTTGTCTATCCCCACTTGAAAACCACCTAAGATACACTTTATAAAACTATCTAAGATGCCCACCCCACTGTTTAGATTTTTGTTTTTAAACAGTAAGAAAATATTGGTGTGAGGCAGCTCTCAGGGCGGCGGTGACAGGGAAGAGCTTACCTTCCTTCTCCCTCCCTTTGGTGCTGCCTCTGGCCAAGCAGCAGCCAGCCACCAATTCAATCATCTCATCATAAAAGTGATAGAAGACTTTACAGCGGTGACACTTTTATCCTATACACCCTTTAAAGACTTACCATACCATTGACTGCATAGATGCATGGATACCACTCTCCTTGATCTGCACCTTGTGAATGTTCACTAGTTATGGTTGCTTCCTACTGTTACTATTAGAGCTGCATGAGGCTCACTCCCCGTGAGATCTGAATTCTGATGTAGAAAGCCTTCTTTCTAACCTTCTGCCTCCCCCAACCAAATTAGGTCTTTTTTGGCGGTGGCAAATTTAGTACAAGTTGCACATTACAGGTTTAGAATGAAAAAGCGGGCCTGATGGTTGCCAGTATTTTTCTATAATTGGGTTCTGTAGTGCTTTGAAAGGGGATGAAGGAGGGGAGGCAAAGCAAATGCACGCTAACTTTTAAAAGGAGTTTGCTAATCCACTAAAGTGCCTCTGACAACACACTGCATTTTAGCAGTGGGAGTTGTAGCTTGCTGTGCCACTTGAAAGACTCTTGCTGAGCCTTCCCTCTTTAAGCCACAGAGATTTGCCACCCTGCGTGTCACTAAAACTGCTCATAAAAAGTTTTGTTTAAGAAAGGGAAAACAAAACAACCCACAGTAAATCACACGGATAACATGCTAACTCTGGATGAAATGGATCTGCTGATGGGTACAAATTATCATTCTCTTTCACTCCCAAAGGAGATGCTCCCCCCCCCACGGGCTCATGTGCTGTGTGCACTTAACGAAAAATGTGTTTGGAACTGCAGCCTATGTTTTATACAATTGTCTAAAATATAAAGAGAATCTTGCTGTGAAAAAAAAAGGAGAAGATAGACAGAAAGGGAGGAAGGGAAAGAGTGCTTTTTAAATGGGCTGGTTTCACAGAAGTCCAAAGAAAAAGACATGGAATAATATACCAAAAGAAACAAGGAGGAAATGGAGTGGGAGTATCAGAGGGTGGTGGTTTTGGTTTGTTGGTTTGGTTTTTTTGAGGAGGGTTCTGTAATCATAATGTGCCTTCCATTCCAACAGACTGTCTCAACTAGAAACTGACTACAGCTTTCACAAAACAAAAGTTAACCCTGTGCTGGACTGGCTGGACTAGACAGGGAGCATTCACTAAAAGCACAGTGGATGGGATTGAACCAATGAATCTCATCAGCAGAAGCTCCAAAGGCTTCTGCATGTGGATTGGGGTTTTTTCCCCTCTCCCCCTCCCTTGTGCCTCCTGAAATTGGCTTGGGGTGGAGTGGGATTGGGAGAACCCCTGGAACAGTGTACAGAGAGAGGAAGGTGGATCATTCCGACATCAAGCAAGAGAGCACAGCACTCCAAATGCAAGGCATTACCAGCTCTGGAGGAAAGACAACAGCTAAGGCTCTGGAAGTGAGGAAGTCAGTACACAGCAACAAAATGAAATATGCACTGGGTTGGGGAACCATGTGAGGGCAGAGAAGGGGGGAGGAGTACATTGTGGGGCCTTGCAAAATCTAAGGCATTAAGGAATTCTATGATGCAGCATGTGAACACACACACAGAGAGCACAACTGCATGATAAAAATATAGATACTTTTGAACATTTGTTGTCACTGTTAACATGTGAAATTTGGTTGGTGTGTGAAAGTGTAGCATTGTAGCAACTCAAAGGACTGCAACCTCCTCTGTCTGCTTGGAGATGTAATCCCCGATTTCAGCAGTGGTAGAGTACTTCTTTGCAAAGGAATTAATTGGCTATTATGGGACTGCAGGTGCTGCCTCAGTTGAATTGCATGCTTCCTTGCATTGTACCTCTGCTTCAGAAATAATTGTGGAAAGGGCCCAGCCGGACAGGCTGCGATTCGTAGACTATGTAAACAGGCCTTGCTCGCTTTCCTCATTGCAACACAGAATAACATTAACACATCCATGTCCTATTTTCCACCTCTCTCCATTGACTTTAATTAATTAGGTCTCCCTGGAATTGTATGTGTGTGGAGTGAATGAGGAAACAGTTCTCCCACAAGCTCTCCCTTCATCTCCCTCCCAACACACACAGCTTTATTATTTCGTTACACTCTTGGATAAGTTTCAGACCAAGCTGAGGTAGAGCAGCTGAAGGACAACTAATGTTCATTGCATTACATTAACCTGGAAAAAAGTTAATTTAAGGCAGCAAAAGCCAAATATCCTAAGAGCTTGTTAAATTGTTTTGCAATGTATAAGTGACAATGCTTCACTTCCAAGCTAATTCTGCAGCCTTATAACTTAGCAGCCATTTAATGGCTCCATTTATAAAAGAGTTGCAGTGGGCAGACACCTCTGAGGGATAGTTTTAGAAGTTAGGGATGGGGAAGAAATTCAGTTTCATTCATGTTTTGAACTTAAAGGTAAAGTAAAGGACCCCTGACAGTTAAGTCCAGTCACGAATGACTCTGGGGATGTGGCACTCATCTCGCTTTACTGGCTGAGGGAGCCGGTATTTGTCCGCAGACAGTTTTTCCGGGTCATGTGGTCAGCATGACTAAGCCGCTTCTGGTGAAACCAGAGCAGTGCACAGAAACGCCTTTTACCTTCCCACCGGAGCGGTACCTATTTATCTACTTGCACTTTGACGTGCTTTCGAACTGCTAGGTGGGCAGGAGCAGGGACCGAGCAACGGGAGCTCACCCCGTCACGGGGATTCGAACTGCCGACCTTCCAATCGGCAAACCCTAGGCTCAGTGGTTTAGACCACAGTGGCACCTGCATTGTGCTCTTTCTGGATTTGAACTTACATAATGTGCAATTCCAGAAAGAGCACTTGAACCTAAAATAGCTAAACTTTGAAATTCAGTTCTTCAAATTTTGCAATTCAGTTCTGCAACCAAAAGATATAGGAGAAAGAATGCCTTAAAATGCATATAATAGTGAAGATAAACATATAGAAGTGAACCTTAGGGGAAACTTGCAAAAAAATGTATACATTCGGCAGAACTGCATGTAAAATGCATAGATTAGGGAAAATGTCCACTAAAATGCTGATTATTTTTCATTAGGACTTAAAAAAAATACAAACTGATATAGAAACATAAACTGAACACAAGGTTGGAAAAAAGGAGAACTTGAAATATACTTTTTTATATATAACTCATATGCAAAAGCCTATTTCTTACATTATGTAAAGGTTAGTCAAAGTGGTGTGTACCCTCCAAGTTTCCCAAGTTTCCAGGGATAGTCCTGTAATTATAGAAGCCATTCCAGTTTCTGATTTGATTCCAGAATCTTCCAGTTTTCCTGTTTCCTCCCCTCCATGTCTTGGAGGACAATTAAAAGTGGTGGAGAGATCAGACCCTCCACATCCTGTCCTTTTCGGAAAGAGGAGCCTTTGCTGTCTCTGTGTGTGTAGGTGCAAAAACCGGAGTCCTGTTTACACAGAAAACAAAACAACTGCGCCAAACAAAAGAAATGGTGAAGCTGACATACAAGGCCCTTTCTATAATTCTGAAGAAAAATGTAACCAATTCGCTTTAAATTCTTTAATGCAATGCTTCAGCAGCCAATCATTTTTATCTTATTTTTTAGGAAACACATGGATTGTTTATTCCTTTATTGTTAATTGAGCCTTACGCTGTCTGCTCAGAAGTAAGCCCCACTGTTT